TCCATAATCCAGGAAAGTTCCTGAGGATTGCTAACCCAGGCAGCCAATGTGTCCTTCAGTCTGATGAGTTAGTTCCCTTTGCTTACTTATCTGTACTAGGCGACTCTTGGGTGAGAAGGCATGATTGTTTTCATGTCATAGTAATTAAAATGAATGAATGTTTGCACAGTTTATAAATCTTATAGAAATACAAAAATATTATTATATAAGAGGTTATTGATACTGGAAAAAAGGAATGAGGTCATTCAGCAGCTCAAGGCCCTGGGTTTTAAGATTCTCTGCACGCAAAACAAATAAGTAAACAAACAAGTTGGCCCTGGGAAGGGGAGCTCTGTTAAACAAAGAGACAAAAGAGCTGGTACTGGACAGAGGTGAACAGAACCTCAGTGCTTTATGGGAACATGAAAAAATAAGGAAGGAAATTTAAGTAATAAACACTCACAAAGGTTGCAGTTTATATGGTCTTTTATGCTCATAAAGCCTTAAATATTTTTGTCAGCTAAATCTGGATTTTTAAGTAGCATTATGATTGTGTTAATTATATTCAACTGTTATTAATGTTTTTTATTTATTTTAATTTATTTCTAATTATGTGTATGTGTAGATAGAGGAAGGCCCCCAACATTGACCTCTGGTCTCTATATTCACAAATACGCATACATGTGTGCATGCATGTATCCAAACATGTATACACGCGTATGAACACATATATATCCGTACACCATGCACATTCTCATGCACAAACATGTACATATATGCACTCACCCACACACACTAGTTCTCTGTCTCTCTCTCCTTTCATCCCCTCTTCCTCCCTTCTCTCTCCTTACATTTCTGCATGATTGTTAACTTTTGTTAATGAAATAGTATTTTTTTAAAAGATTTATTTATTTATTGTGTATACAACATTCTGCCTCCATGTATGCCCGCACGCCAGAGGAGGCCACCAGATCTCAGTACAGATGGTTGTGAGCCACCATGTGGTTGCTGGGAATTGAACTCAGGACCTCTGGAAGAGCAGCCAGTGCTCTTAACCTCTGAGCCATCTCTCCAGCCCCCTGAAATAGTATTTTTAACAATAGCTGTTCAAAGATTTTGAAGCTGCTTGTGATATCAAGATTTGGGCAGGCAGGAGAATAAGGAACTCAAGGTCATCTTCAACTCTGTAGCAAATTTAGAGGCCCATCTGCCTCTCAATAAAATAGATTTTACAACTTGATTTTTTAAAGTTATTTTTAGATTTATTTTTAATTAAATGTGTGTGGGGGTAAGTGAACTTGAGTGCAGGGACCTATGGAGGCTAGAATAGGTTATCCGATTCTGTGGAGGTGGAGCCACAGGAGGTTGTAAGCTGCCTGTTGTAGGTGCTTGGAGCTGAACTTTGGTCCCTTCTGAACACTCTGAATGCTGAGCCATCTCTCCAGTGCCCTGCAACTTTTTTTTTTTTGGTTTGTTTTTGTTTTTTTGTTTTTGTTTTTGTTTTTGTTTTTTTTTTTTTTTGAGACAAGGTTTCTCTGTGTAGCTTTGGAGTCTGTTCTGGAACTGTCTCTCTGTAGACGAGGCTGGACTCAAACTCACAGAGATCCGCCGGCCTCTAACCTCCCAAGTGCTAGATTAAAGGCGTGCGTCACCACCGTCTCATTTTTTTAAGAACAGAGTGTTAACAGACTAGAGCGATGACCCAGTGGTTAAGAGCACTTGTTGTGCTAGAGGACTCAAGTTTTGCTCCCAGCACCCACATAGTGGTTTACAACTATTCATAACTGGTTTGAGGGGACCCAGTACCCTTCTGAGTCCTCTGGGCACCAGGTATGAATGTGGTGTTTGTTTTGTTTTTTGTTTTCTCAAGACAGGGTTTCTCTGTAGTTTTGGAGCCTGTCCTGGAACTAGCTCTTGTAGACCAGGCTGGACTCGAACTCTAGACATCCGCCTGCCTCTGCCTCCTGAGTGCTGGGATTAAAGGCATGCGCCACCACCGCCTGGCCCTGAACAGAGATTCTTGTGTCTGTTTAGAAATGCCTGTACCCGTTGAGCCTTGCTAGTCCTCATTTCTTTGTTGAAGAATTTCTTCTCTTTTTTCATTTTTATTTAAGTTCCAAGTAAAGTTTTTTTGTCTTAATGTTAAATTTCAAGATTGATGGTGAAGGATCTGGAAAGAAGGTTCCCATGGTAAATTAGGAACTTGCTGCCAAGGCTGATGACCTGAGTTCAAGCTCTGGGACCCCCATGGAGCAGAAGAGCTTACTTCCTTATGTTGTCTCCTGACCTCTACATATGTACTGTGGCGTGCATGTCACACACACACACACACACACACACAGGAACAACAATAGTAATAGTAAATATAATTTGAAAATTGATGGATGTTATGCCTATCTCACCAAATTTCGAGTTTTACAGGGTCTGTATGTCAGCACAATATATGTTAATTTCTGTATTTGATAGTACTGGTATTCATGTTAACTCTATGTTGTTAAAGGTAAAAATGACTAATAAGCTTACTCTAATTTGCTTCTAAGTTTATTTAACTCATTTGTGCCTTGTGATTAGCTGTGTGTGTCTAAACATGAAAAAGAATGCCAGATTTAACTATAGAGATTATAATGCAGTACTAACGCTTGTCTTTAAAATAAACATGTTTTTGTCAGATGACTTGCACGGTGCACAGTCAGAAACTGAGGCCAAACAGGAAATTCAGCATCTTCGAAAAGAATTGCTCGAAGCCCAGGAGCTAGCTAGAGCAAGTAAACAAAAATGCTTTGAACTTCAAGGTGAGATCAAGATCTCTGCAACTTTGTGGGGGCCTATGAAAGCAGCAGAGTGTGATTTGAAGTCACAAAACTCAGAACCCAGAGGGCACTGCAGGGTCTCCAGAACCAGGGCTTTGCTAGGCTTGTTCTCAGACATCCACTCAACCTTCTAAGCTTCCATTTCAGATGGTAAAATGAGGACGGGGCAGTGGTAGTGCGCACCTGGAGGCGAACCAACCTGGTCTCGAGTGAATTCCAGGACAGCCAGGGCTACACAGAGAAACCCTATCTCGATTCTCCACTCCACCCCACCAGTCCCTCACTCCCTACCACCCACCCACAAGAAAAAAAAAAAAGAACACTTTACCAACAAAAGGACTCCTCCATTGTTAATTACATGGTAATTTTAGGCTGAATGTCCCTTATCATAACATTCCAGATTTCAGATTTTTTTTTTTTTTTTGGATGTGAGGTGCCTGGTCAATCAGTGCAGCACAAGACATGGGGAAACCCATAAATTGAGCCATACCTAATAGTAGTGCTCACTTTGGGGTGGGGCGTGAGGTATAGTGGGCAAGGTTTGAGGTGTAGAATCTTCCGAGCTGAGCACAAGTTTAATGCCAACCTGGGTAGATAGACTCCCTCAAAAAGGAAATATAAAAGAAAAGAAGAAAAAAAGAACTAGAATCTTCTCATCTTGGTAATTTCTCCTCCTTGTGGCTCGTGTATCTGGTAATCATTGGCCAATAGGGACCATGCTGGAGCTTATGCTTCCTTAGCCTTCTGGTATTTGCCCTTGGCAATGAAGTTCTCGGAGAGCCTAAGATCTCATGGATTCTTGTGGCATCCTTAGGTTTCATAGAAGCCTTTCCTGAGCAGAGGAACAACTGAAATGCCAAGAACCCGGAATCTTCTGAGACTGTTTCCTTTCCTTACTTATTATTGTCTTGTGTTCCTAAAATCTTGATGACTAATACTGATAATACTTATCACCTAACTCTTGTGTGTTTCAATAAACTATAAAAAGAAAACTTTCAGAAATTTCTAGCTGTGCACTTGTGAATGCTTTTCATTAACTTACAATATTAGATGCTCTTTTTTTGTTTTGTTTTTGCTTTTTAGCTCTTTTGGAAGAAGAACGTAAAGCTTATCGAAATCAAGTTGAGGAATCTGCTAAACAAATACAGGTTCTCCAAGGTATGGGGTATCCCGATTCTGCTAGAGATGGCTATGGTTATCTTAGGGTTCAGTGATTGAAAAGGAATGAAAGTAAGATTGCAGAGAATCCTCAGTTGTCATGGCTCTGGTTCTTCCCTAGAAACCGTCATACTGGGCTTCTGGACAATTTTTCTTTAAAGGAGATAAGGAAGGGATTGTCCCAGGAACCCATTGTTTATACTCTGGAGTCATAAAGGCAGGGGTGATGCTAATTGTGGTGGTGCCTGCCTGTGATATTGGCACTCAAGATATGAGGCAGCAAGGTCTTGAGTTCAAGACCCACCTCAGCTACATAATGAATTTGAGGTTTGCCTTAGCTCCCTCACCCAAAATATTTTCATCAGCAAGAGGATAGAGAAATATGTATTACATACAAACATACATATGCATCCCTTTCTACTTAATGTTTGTTTTTCTATCTATATGAAGGCACTGGAAAGACAAAGAGAATAAATACCAAAATATTAACATAAGTCTCATCCTCATCTCTGTGGGGAAAATAAAATTTACTTTAGCTTTTGGCTTTCCCCATTTGTATCTGTATTTTGGCATTTTATGTGTCTAACATAAGTTGCTTGTGTAATTTCATCAAACAGCTCTGACAAGCTGCATACTAGCTGTGTCCTGTAATGTGCTGTAGTTTTGTTCTTAATTCTGTGACCTCAGAAAAGATAGATAATACAGATAATGCACTTTTACAGTCCAGCTACAGAGGTTGCATGTGGATATGGAGAATCTCCAAGAGGAAAAGGACACTGAAATCTCCTGCACGAGAGATAAATTGCTTAATGCCCAAGATGAGATTTTGCTCCTTCATCAGGCAGCAGCAAAGGCTGCTTCTGAGCGGGACACTGACTTTGCTTCCTTACAAGAAGAGCTTAAGAAGGTGAGAGTGGAACTTGAGAGCTGGAGGAAAACAGCGTCAGAATATGAGCTAGAAATCACCAGTTTACAGAACAGTTTCCAGCTTAGATGTCAGCAGTGTGAAGACCAGCAGAGAGAGGAGGCAACAAGGTTGCAAGGTGAGTGAGTGCTTAGGCATAAAGCCCCTAACTCTTGCTTTCAAGGAATAGGAGGGGGTGGCCCTTGGTCCATGTTTTCCCAGCCCACAACTCATGGTAGCAGTGATTACTTTGATAGAAGGTGACTGTGTAAGCCAGGGCTCCTGTGCTAGGGTTGTAGGTACAGGTCTACAGGTTCTGTGATAAGTGTATTTTTACAGGCACATACTATTAATTCTTTATAATGCTATTGAGGAGTATATGTCATAATAATGGTATACACCTATAATTCCAGCACCTAGGAAGTAGAAACCAGAGGATTGTGAGTTTAAAGCCTGCCTGGGTTATATCCTGAAAGTGTATGTCAAAAACTGGCAAACATTAACATTGTCTTAAAACAATGAAGTGGAACTCGTAATGCCGTTGCTCAGGAGGCAGAGGCAGGTGGTGCACTGTGAGTTTGCAGCCATCCTGGTCCTACACAGAGCCTTCTCAGCCAGTCTGAGCTACACAGTGATCTCCTAGCCCATAAACAAACAAACGAACAAACACAGTGAAGTAGGAAAAGAAACACTGTTTTTTAAGGTGACAGCATCTCTTTGAGCTATAGAAGCAAAGTGACAGGGATCAAAAACTGCCCTGTAAAAACCCACCTGCTCTTAAGAGGGGAAATGTGTTCTCTGAAGTGTTACTCTGTCTCCTTTGAATACAGTGTTTTCTGGTTTCTATATTAACAAATAGGCTTTGTGGCTCTTTTAGGTGAGCTAGAGAAGTTGAAAAAGGAATGGAATGTCCTGGAAACTGAATGCCATTCTCTAAAAAAGGAAAATGTTTTGTTGTCATCAGAACTGCAGCGGCAAGAAAAAGAATTGCACAAGTATGTAAGAATTTCCCTTTAACTTAAAAATATTTGTTTTTAATTTTTATGAAAATTAAATTTTGATACTTAGATATTTTGGAGTCAAATGTTCAGCCAAACTGGTTATTTGACAAATTAAACATAGTAAGTATTACATCGTTTAATTCCATTTTACCATACTTGTCATCAGAACCGCAGCGGCAAGAAAAAGAATTGCACAAGTATTTTAACCACTGAGCCATCTCTCCAGCGGCTGAATTTTCCTTTCTAATGCCATTATTTTGCTCAGTTCTTTCATATGTTTTATGTATATTACATTTTGATAATTAATAAAACAAATGTTTACTTGTAACATGAAAGTTAGTCAAAGCAATGCCTAAAATAGGAAAAGAACAAAATAAAGGCCCACCGTACGTACATATATGCTTACATGTGTATGTATTGATTAGCTGTGTGGCAGCACGTGTAAAGAAGATGGTTTTGTTTATTTGTTAGTACTTCGAAATAGGCTCTCATGTAGCCCAAGCTAACGCTGAACCTGCTATGTAGTCAAGGTTAGCCCTAAACTCCTAACTTTGGTTTTGGTCTACCAAGTGTTATGACTGTAGGCATTGACTACTGCACCCAGCTTGGTTTTGTTGTTGTTGTTGTTTTGTTTCTTTTATATTGTAGTCTCTACTGGCCTGGGGCTTTTCACTGTGGCCGAGGTCCTCCTGCCTCAGCCTCCCTGTAAATCAATCATGCAGATATTCAAGATCTTTACGTTTACGATGATTGGTTTTTTAGGTGAATTTATTTAATTTGGTATTTTTATTGTTTGTTTGTTTGTTTTGAGACAGAATTTCCTTAGGTAACCCAGGTTGGGCTTGAATTTGAGAGCCTGTTTTAGCTTCCTCAGTCCTAGGATTTTAGTTGTGTGTCACCACACCCAGTCTAGTTTGTATTACTTAATAGTTCTTGTTTTTTAAGTATTGATATTTTAAAGATTCTGAACCTTGTAATCTCTCATTTTTGAGATGTGATTAACAGAAATCTAGCAGACTGTTAAAGAACTATTCTTTTTAAATTATGTTATTGTTGTTTAAATGTTAAAAATAACATTTACAGATTGCATGTGACTAGAAGCCCATGACTTCAAATGTTAGACTCCAGTTGGGTATTTACTGCTTGCCTGGAGAACCATCTGTGTGGGATGCTAAGGCAGGGAGAATCCCTTGTGAGACACCCATCTCACAAACCAACCAAAACAAAACAATGGGTTCTAGAAAGGTACACTGTATCAATACATATCATTGTTTTAGTCATCTGTTACACTCACATAAAGTACATAAGATATATTAATTCTATTTCCTGAACATTTCTGCCCGAGTACTCTAAATTTATTTGCTAAGCTTCTCTTTAACTATCAGACCCTCCTTAAGAATCTTCCCCTTGGGCTGGAGTGATGGCTCAGAAGTTAAGAGCATTGCCTGCTCTTCCAAAGGTCCTGAGTTCAGTTCCCAGCGACCACATGGTGGCTCACAACCATCTGTAATGGACTCTGGTGCCCTCTTCTGGCCTGCAGGTGTACACACAGACAGAATATTGTATACAAAATAAATAAATAAATAAATAAATAAATAAATAAATAAATAAAAAAAAAAAAAAAAAAAAAAAAAAAAAGAATCTTCCCCTTGCCAGGTGGTGGTGGCACGCCTTTAATCCCAGCATCCAGAAGCAGGTGTAGGCAGATCTCTGTGAGTTCAAGGCCAGCCTGGTCTGCAGAGAGAGTTCCAGGACAGGCCCCAAAACCACAGAGAAACCCTGGCTCAAAAACAAACAAACAAACAAACAAAAAAAAAAATCCGCCCATTGTATTAACAGAGTGAAATAAATGCTCTGTAGTTCTTTGTTCGTAGTATTGGATGTGATTAAGTTCCATTCTGAAAGATATAACTTTGAAAATCTGACATTTAAAAAGATGTTTTTTGTGTGTGGGTGTTTTTGCCTGTGTTCATGTATACCATGTGCATGCATTGCCTGAAGAAGCCAAAAGAGGACAACGTAGCCCCTGGAACTGTAGTTACAGATGGTTGTGAACTGCAGTATGAATGCAGAGGCTCAAACACAGGGCCTCTGGAAGAGCAACCAGTGCCATCTCTCCAACCCTAAAATCTTAGTATTTAACTGCTTGTGGGAGCTAACTTTTCTCTAAGCCAGACAAATCTTTTTTTTTTTTTCTCACTGTTCTCAAAGAATTGAAAACAAGGGATTATTACTATTTTTCATACTGAAGATTGAACCCAGGGTCTTGGTCATGTTAACCCCATGCTCTACCCAGTTTCTGAAAAAGGCATTGATGTTCATTCATATCAAGTTACTTTCCTCATGTGTACATTATTTTTAATAGCAAATTATAAAAATCATCCATATAATTAAAGCTAGAAAATAGCCTCAGATGTTGTCTTAGTTAGGGTTTCTGTTGCTGTGATAAAACACCATGCCCAAAACACCTTGGAGAGGAAAGGGCCTTGTAACTCGGGTCACAGACCATCTCTGAAGGAAGTCAGAGTAGGAACCTGGAGGCAAGAACTGAAGAATAGGCCAAGGAGGATCAATGCTTATTGGCTTTTTCTTGTACAATCCAGGACCACTTGCTCAGGGGTGGCACCATTCACATGGACTGAGCCCTCCCACATCAATCATCAATCAAGAAAACACCCCACAAGCGTACCCACAAGCCAGTCTGGCAGGGCCATTCCTCAACTAAGGCTCCCTCTTCCCAGATGAGTCTAGACTGTGTCACGATGACATAAAACAGGCAGTACGGAGGTGGATGTTTGACACAAGTAGACACAGAGACCCCCCCCCCCCCTTGATATTTGCTGCTTATGCACATCTGAGAGCTCGGGAAATGTTTCTTCAGAGAATAAGGGGTCCCAGCTAAGTGACCAGGTCCATAGTCCACAATTCAGGTTCTCCTCTCAGTCTCCCCATGTGGTGGCACTTTTCATTTGAGCAGGTTTGTGTGAGTTAGCAATGATGCCTAAGCTTCAGGTTTCTGATCCCATTCTATTTTTGAGTATTTACTCTTGTAACATAGTTGAAATATGCATTTATAATACAATTTGTAAAGATAATTTGGTATACTAAAGTATGTAATTAGGACCAGACATGGGGGTGCCATATCATATCCTTAATCCCAGCATTTGGGAGTCAAAGGCAGGCAGATCTCTTCGAGTTCAAGACCCACCTAGTCTACAAAGGAAGGTCCAGGCCAGCCAAAGGATGACCCTGTCTCAAAGCGAGAAAATGAAGCAAAAACAAAGAAAACTCCCAAAGTATAATTAGTCATTTCTTCTATTTATAAAATTTCTACTTTTATGTATATTTGAAAGGATACAGCTTTAAACTTCAAGGGATTTTTTTTTAAGTGTCTTAATGCCTTTTCCTTACTGAAATTGTCTTACTTTTTTTGTACCATTTTTTTCTGCTGTGAAATACACTCCTCCCACCTAGTGAAATGCTGTGATCCTGGGCTCTCTCTGCCCAGGATCCAGTGTGCGCTGTGAATGACTGTCCGTGTTTATGTTGCAGTTCTCAGAAGCAGAGTCTGGAGCTCACGAGTGACCTCAGCATCCTGCAGATGACCAGGAAAGAGCTCGAGAACCAAGTGGGATCCTTGAAAGAGCAACATCTTCGTGACTCAGCTGACTTAAAAACTCTTCTCAGTAAGGCTGAAAACCAAGCAAAGGATGTTCAGAAAGAGGTAAAGCGAAAAGACATGCTCAGCCCAATTATGGTTGGACTTAAAGCCAAAGGCAAATCAGATATCCATGCTACTTAGAAATAAAGAAAAGCAGAAAGCACATTACCTGACAGTTGACACTTGGAGCATCCCACCCAGCCTGGTAATTACTAGCTGTGCGTCACGATCCCTATCCAGAGGATTGATCTAGTGTTTGCTCTCACACATCCAGACATAAGAGCTAGTTTTTAACTTTTCTCTGTTGACTGACATGAGAGACCCTTTGTAGCAGATTGCTTGGTCTATTTAAGTATCAAAGAGTGTGCAATAATAAATGAAGCATTCTTTTGGAAGGCAAACTGCAATCTAGGACAGCATCGTAGCTGGAGCTATATGCTCCTGGGAAAGTGGCTAAGACAGTGACTTGTGCTTGTCATTCCAGCGATGAGTTCAAGGCTTTGTTGGTTACACAAATATATATACAGATGGGCAAGGTGATGGACACCTACAGTCCCAGCACTTGGGAGGCAGAGCAGGAAAATCAGGAGTTCAAGGTCAGCCTCAGCTGCGTAGTGCGTTTGAGAATAGCTTAAGCTGCATCAGATCCATGTCAGAAAACAAACAAGAAGAAAAAAATTACTTAAAATTCACCTATATACAGACAGCCAAATGCCTGCTCTGTGGCACTGTATACCCCACCCCTACTTTCTCTTGGTCTTCACAAATATCCACACTTGAGTTTTCATGTGATTTTGTTTATACCTCAATTCCATTAACTTGTGGAATAATCGTGTTAATGATGGTAAAAGGTTGACTTTGGAAGGGACCCACCCCAGGTCGTTCTGAACAGGATAAGTAAAGCTGACCACGGGGCAGTAAAAGTTGTGTTCGCTCCTGCTGGCCTTCCTGCACTGACGCCTGACCAGCTCAGGTTAATCAAGCCTGTCTGCTCATCAGGAAGCTCCAGCTGGAGGCTTGCTGACAGGCAAGATTCTTCATGATATAGAAGGAAGTGAAAGATAGGTCTTGTCTTTTAAAATGAATTTTTTAAAAGTTCTTTTTAGGAAATAAAATGTGAGTTTCTCTCTGCACTTCCCCTGGAGCATTCTGAGTTTGGAAATGATTGTTCTTCTGTCTCTGTGCTTGTTTCTGAAGGAATAAAGCTGCAAAAGTTTTATACTCATGTAGACACACTGACTTTGAAATGTTCTGCTTTACCTGGTTAAGGATGTGTATTTTAGAAGCATCCTCATTTGGTTGAAACACAAATTTTGTGCCAAAGTAAATATCCTAATATTTAATACTGTAAGCACGTTGTGCCCTTCCAGTCCATGTGCCATAATTCTTTCAATATTTGGGAAGAATTTGTGGTGGGAAGATTATTCTGTTGTATGTTATTATGAATACATTAGCCATTTGTTGCATTATTTGTTTGCCTGCTCTCAGTTACTGAATAATCAATGCCAAATGCTTTAACTGTTTCACAAATGGCAGTGGCATGTTGTCACAGCATCTCAAGTGTTGCTAGTCTTTGGATTGCATTAAATGCAGCATATTTGAAAATATGTCTGAGCTTGTTAGTATGTTCTTTCCTATTTTCTTGTTCATTGTTTTTCATTGTGAAATGATGTATAGTCATCATATTTCTTTGTAATGTGAAATTGCTCTGTTTGTCCTTCTGTCAACATATTGGATACTAATCTGTAAGTAAAAGGATTTTAATGAGGTTTTTTTATCTCTGTAATATACTAGAAATACATTATTACTTTTTAGTAATGTATACTTACTTCTTTTCAACATTTCGCTTTGCTCTCCTTTCTCTCTTGGAATCATGCTTACTGTACTCAAAAATCCTGATCATGTGTCTTCAGTGCTATAAGAGGTTAAACTATTGTAATCTGAGCAACCCTACATATGATTATTTTTTTGTGAAGAAGAGTCACAGGTGTTGGTAATATGTTGTATTTCTCTCTTAAGACCAAGCTCACTGGTTACTTCAAAGTTAAAAAGCAAGAGGGAACAGAAGTGATATCCAAGCAAGGTGTAAAAAAACCTAAGACTGCAGAAGGTGACCTTTGTTCTGCTTGTTAAAGCTTTATCTATGGTAATTTTAATATAAATAACTCCAAAGAAAAAGCATGAAAAATAATTCTCAAAAGTTAAAGAAAAGAATTGTATATTATCTTTATATTTGATTTTATAAAGCATCTATATATTTTAATTTAGTGAGAATATCTATGATCCAAGAGTTCAACCAGTGTGTGGCAAATACTTGCAATCTGCACACTTAGGAAGCTGAGATAGGTCTTGAGTTGGTGCCAGCGGGGCTGCATAGATTCTGTCTCAGAGAAACCAACCAGCCAACCAGCACATACATAAAACATTGAACATCTACCTCTGCCCTGAAAAGCCTGACACAGGGTTGGTGTTTGGCTCCCTTCTTCCTGCAGGGCCAGCGTCCTCCCCATGCACTGCTGTGCCTGAGGTAAGCAGCAGTGTCCCGTGACTGCACTGCTTTCCTGCGCGGCTGCTTCGCCCTCCTGAGTTGGAGAGACGATGCAGGGGGCAATCTGGATGTAAAAATGGTGGAAAGGGAAGGAGAGGAAATGTTTGGTTGACAAAGCACCTTTGACTTATCCTTTATTAGCACTGTTGGGAACTGATTTACAATCACTGAGAACTGATTGCATTCTAAGGTGCAAAAGTTAGCCTAGAATCACTGACTTTTCCTTGGCAGCCTCCCAGTAACCTTTTATCTTCTGGGAGAAATTTATAGACCCTCACATCAACTGAAAAAAGCTGTCACAAACAAAGCCTGTGAATTTTAGTCTTTGGTTCATTTTCTAGTGTATTTCCCAGGGCTGTTCTGGGAATGTTTTTAGGTTTAAAAAAAAAAAAAAAAAAAAAAACTCGGCTAATGTGGCTTCCTTTTAATTACCAGAAAATCCATTTAGTCCTAACACTGCCATTAATTAGGATTTGTATCTACCTGTTCGTCTTCTGCTCAAAGAAAAACTTTTCAGCTTCCCCTCTTCTCACTTGATGGAAGAAGTGACCTTTTATGTTATAAGCAGGTGACAACACGGTATGTTCTGTTCTTTGAACTTAACACCAGGGCAAGAAAATCATTACATAGAGTTAAGCCAGCATTAAAAATTCCGTACTGTGAGTACCAGGGACTTACCTTCTTGACACAGAAGGGCTGGACTTTGGTGTTCAGAGTTATTAAACAGGGCCTGGTGTACACCTGACTGGAACTGTAGTCCATACCATTTTAAGTCAAGCCTGCACACTCTTTTTTTCTTTACCTTTAGTATGAAAAGACACAGACTGTCCTCTCAGAACTGAAGCTGAAGTTCGAAATGACTGAGCAGGAAAAGCAATCGATCACAGATGAACTCAAACAGTGTAAAGACAACCTGAAGCTGCTGCGAGAGAAAGGAAATAATGTAAGTGTTTGCCACCTCAGCTCAGCTTCCACCGGGAGGAGTGTCAGAGGCTGACCGTGTCTGTCAGAAGCCTTCACTATGATCTGGGTACAAAAGAAGTCAGCTTCTCCGTATGGATCTCTGAGAACTGTTGTGTCACAGGATTTCTTTTTAAGTACGAACCCCTTTAACTTACACCCCCAGAAAAGCTTGGTTCCTGCTTGGTGGAAAACAAGTATCAGTGAAACAACTTAGAAAACCCATCTGGTTTACCCAGACGGGTCTGAATTTGTCACTGAGGAACACCTGACTTGTTTCTGTCCACCCAAGGCCATCTAGGAGACATGGTACACTCTGGGCCTTAGCCTTAGGTTGTCTCAGAAGCAGAGCTTTAGAGCAGTTTTCATTTTTCTACTAGTAATGTCCATTCCTAAAAGCTTTCTGTTTATTTGGCATCTATCTATCTATCTATCTATCTATCTATCTATCTATCTATCTGTAATTGATAAATCGATGTAGAACTCTCTAGTGTGTGTTTGAGAGAGAGGTGGGGGCTGGCAGGCACAGAGGTGGGAAGAGCATTCAGCTGTCAGGTTAGTTTGATAACACTTGTTTCTCCCTGGGAAGAAAGGTCTTTAAGGTGAAGTTATACTAAATAAATGTCCTGTTGTTTGTGGTGATCGTTGCCTTTGTGGGCCCTAACTGACGATGTTCGCTGTGGTTGGCTGTGCTCTGAGGCTCACTCCACCTCTCACAGCTGGACACTGCAGTGCACGTGAGCCACATGCTTCCTGTGCTGCCTGACTTGCAGCACACGTGCAGACAAGTTTCGTTGCATGGCCATCCAGTTATGTAGTTTTCACAGAATGCTCATGAGTTGTGTCCAACTGTCCTTTGCTTACTAAAGTTACAAGTTTTAGGCAACAAAAAATTGCAGGTTAGGTAGGAGCCCTTTGGAATCCGAAGGGTTTATGCTAAACAGAAGTGGATTGTGTTTATTTCTTAATGCACAGAATATAGAAGTCTTCTAAAATCAGATCATAATGATTTGATACCTTTTCTTTTGTGTTAGTTCATACCTGACTATAGAGTTTCAGTCCACTTCTTGCTAAATTAACCTACAAAGACATCTTGCATGATCAGAATGACCCTTCCCATGATGTTACTGTTTATAGTTGTATAAACTATTCACCTTCAGAATGAATTTACCTTTTTCATTATATAGGCTTATATATCCAAGCAATTCCTTTCCCCTTTAAAAACAATCAGATATGTTTAGGATAAAGGAAAGTTGTGAGCTTTGGCTGCCTGTTTATCAGACATGTGCCAATTGCCCACCAAGTTCACATTATCACACAACATGTCTTTCTCAGCTTTAAAAGAATACCATCTCAAAAGTGAAAAGAATTTTGGTTGGAAGGAAATTGGATTTCAATGGAAGAACAAAATATACCCTGTTTGTTGCCATTGGAACATATCTATCAATTAGTGGGCTCCATATGTGAAACGAAAAGACTATATTGTCAAACAGAGCGTTGCTTGATAAACTGTTGTCGCTGCTCTGTCTGAGACTGTCATGTTTCATTAGGACACATGCATTGACTGTTACCTCCAACCGTTCCTATTAAAGTAGTAGTTTCTTAGCATATGTATCACAGCCCATCATTCTGGATTGTGTTAGATGTCTTTCAGATGTTTAAATTGGTGCAAACCTGAGTGGTGTACTTCTGTTACTTCAGTCTTCCTCTCCTTCTCCAACCACTCCCTGGGGTCTAAATCATCTTATCTGATTTTTTACATAGCATAAAATGATTTTAATATCCCTTCCCTTCTTCAGCCCTCCATATTACAACCTGTCCCAGCCGTATTCATCGGCCTATTCCTGGCTTTCCTGTTTTGGTGTTTCGGTCCGTTGTGGTAGAGAAAGGTACAAGCACTACTGTTGAGTCTTGTCTGTTCGTCCCTGTCACCCATTTGTGCCATATTTGTAGTAGAGTGCATGGCAAAACCACAAAGGTATTTTGTTACCTGACGCAAACCCTTCATTTAGTTTGCTATGTATCTGTGTCATACCAATGAACAAATCAACTAATCACATAACATTGTGTCTTGTTTCTTTTGTAGTAGTACTAACCATGAATTAACCCCATGCTAACCTGTTGTTGAAATGCTTCCTTTAACCGAGTCTTTATCTCTAGCAAACTGGAGTAAGCAGTGAATTTCTGCAATATCACCATCTATATCCCAGTTGTGTGTTCAGTCAGATTTGAATGAGAAATGAAGAGTTTGCATCTTTGAAATTTTCAGCCAGCTGTATTGCCCTTCTTTTCTTCCCTTCCGTGGTGTGGAGTTTTCCTTTAATCCTTTGCCTGTTTGCTGTGAAGATGAAAGAGAGTGAGATTAGTGTAATGGCTCACAATTTCAACACCAGTGAGAATTTACTTGTATAATATAAGTAAACTCTACAACAAGCCTTTTTGAGCTGATCTGCAAGCTAGGAGTATTTTTCAAGAGTACTATCAGAATATCAGTAGGAATAAAGGTGGCAACCAAAGTAAATGGATTGTATAAATCCTCAGAAAGCTGATTGGGAAGCCCACCTGTGCCTCGCCTTTAACTGGTAATCAAGCATGCTTATCAGAGGAACCTGCAGCAGGGGCCTCAATACCCCTGTCCTTGGAACCTCAGCTGATCTTCTTTGGTTTCAAGTTCCAGGATCAAGCCTGCATCATTTTCTTTTTACCCCATCTTATAACTCTGGTTTTCATAAAAACAAACTTTTCGGCAGAAGTATACCGCAGGTGCACAGTAAATGCAGCAGACGCATTCTAGAATTTAAGGTGTAACTACAAAGTTTCAACTGTAACAAAGTTGAAAATTGTCCAGGACTTTCCTGGGTGTTCAGGCTTCCACACAATGCCCTGCTAGTATGGTTCTCCCTCGTTTTCCTTTCTTTCTACATGTAGCCTTTACAATGCAAGGGCAAAGTTTTCCGGTGGTCTCTTAAGTATGTGGGACTCAGTTCATCCAGGGTTAAATAGTATGAAAGGCGAGGGGAGAACGCGATATTGACTCTTGCTTTCTTTCCACACAGAAACCCTGGCCCTGGATGCCCATGTTGGCGGCCCTGGTTGCGGTGACAGCCATCGTGCTGTATGTGCCAGGTCTGGCCAGAGCTTCTCCGTGACAGTGTCGAGCCTGTACATCCTCCTCCTTCTAGAAGCTGGCATCACACTCATGCTGGGGACAAGCAGAACCATTTTCTTCCTTTTTACCTCTTAAAACAGCAAAGTGCAAGAATACAGCTATCGGGTCATTGCTTTAACTTATATGAAAATATATCTGTCTATAGAGAGGATATAAAGTTGTGAATTTATTCGGTTTTTCATGTAATTTTTAAATTAGTATGTTGAGAGTCTGAATATTATGGTGGCCTAAAGTAGGTTTCTTAGTTCACCAAATTATTTATACCATAAATTTATAAATATTTTACTCTGAATTCTGATGGCCACATAATTCATTTTTCTGATTCAATAACTACTCAAACCGAACAACCAATACATACATGGGAAGAGAGGCCCTGTGTGCTCAGTGCCTATCAGTTTGAATATATATACACACTCACATATATATATATTTTTTTTACATATGTACGCCATTTTTACTTGTTATAAAACCACTGAGCTATTGGGAACAAGACTTAGACAATTATTTGTGTGGATTTTTTTTTAAGGAAAAACACATTGGGAAAATACTCTGTTCTAATGATAACTTGAGGAATACATACATGTTTGTTCAGCCTTAATGTGACTTGAAGATGTGAAGGACATCAGCTTTGAAAACTTTCCATGAGAGTTTGTATTTTCTTGAGCAAACTGAAATATTTCTGGGAGCAAAAACACAATTGCATAATTTCAGTGCAATCAACCAAACTGTTGAGTAAATTGGAGTGTAACTTACTAAACCTCATGTATTTAAGAAATGTTTTCTTTAAACGCCAAGTTACCTTCTCATAAACAGCAGTTTAGAAAGCATGATTTTTTTTCTGTCATCTGTTCCTCCATGCATGTTTAATTGAAGGAAGAATTGTATCTGTTTAGATAAGCTTTTGTTGATTTAATTTGGTTATGATGTGGCGCTAATTCACATTCAAGGTGAACTGATGTTACCTACCAAGATTTTTTGCTTGGATATACAAATGGTTATTTCTTCTTATTGTTAATAGGGACAGCCTGTTAATTAGTAGCACTATTCCCAAGATTGGTAGTGTTTCTTGCACAGTGACACACCTAAGCACTGCTTGACATTATACATTTAAAACACAGAGGTTAAAGTTCAGCTATGGTTTTGTGCAGCACCATAGTGATGTCAGTGTCCTAAAGCATCACATAGTTCAGTTTTCTTCAGTCAGACTGGGAGGGAAGGTTGGTGAATTGGCTGGAATGTTCTGTGAGAATACCCAGATCTAGCCAGATACTGAGATATCTGGCTAGGATATAATTTGCCTCATGATGTTTGGCGGTCGTTGTTTTTACTTTCAAAGTTGTATTTAAAGCTCTTTGGGGTCATTGCTGGGAGAATCACTAGATTTATGGAGGAATTAGCCACAAATGACTTGTAGAAAATACTGTCGTATAGTTCATGTTACCATTCTCTGTTGCAGGAAGCCACTCCACCACAGAATGCTCATACGCCAGTGGTACCCAGTACCTCTTGTATATAGTTATTGCAAATACTGTTCTGAAATGCATAACTTCAAAATTACCTTTTTTAAAGTAAATAATTGTTTGAAATCTATTTTGTAAAGATAAAACGTACAATAGAATTTCTGGAGTACAGATTAAACTATTTGCACTAACACACGTGATGTGCATGATTTAATAAAATAACTTTCATCTCCCTATGCATGTTTGAGTTGTATGTAATTGGAGTCTTAGTGCTGGCTCTGCCATTCGGATGTCCCTAACCTTTGCTTGACGTGACTTGTGTTAAACATATGTTAGATGTTTGTCAGGGTTTAAAAGAAACAAGAGCAGTTTCCTCCCGAGATTTAATTAATTTACTGTTGTGCCTTTTCTTCTTTTAATATGATTATTGTTAAAATGTGACTCCCTTGCCAGGCCAATGCTATCAAATGTAAGGCCTGGTGTCAATATTTACTTTACTCAAATCAAATAAATGGGATTTTGTAGTTATTTCCGGTTTTTCCTCAAGAATGTAAATAAGCCTGTTCGTTAGCAGCACCTCCAGTTTCCTTCCAAGTTAAACAGAGCAGGATGTTACAAGGTGCGGATGCTCACTAACGCTTAGGCGCAGCAGTTAGAAGTTGTGTGTTAGTTCAAGGCCACACCGGACTACACAGTAAGACCTTGTCTCATGACGACGGCAAAACCAAATGAAAGAACACGGTTTTTACCAGGGTACACGCCTCTACTGACTCTTATCTCTGAGCTTATCATCTTTATCAGAAGGAGATCACTTCATTTTCTTGGAGTTTCTATTTCAATATCTAGAAACTGAGAAGAAAAATATCTCTATGAGCTCAGATTTTTGAGCAAAAAAATAGTATATTTTTCTCTCTTTAGTTATCAGACTTGCCTCGGCTCTCCGCCCCCTGATGAGATAGATTTTCACTTAGCAGCACAGAGGAAAATTCCAGGACCCCCGCTGATGGTCTGCGCATCAGCAAAAGCACTCTGCATTTTTTATACAGTTTTTGTTGCTGGGAGGCAGGAGCAAGCCAGCAGGTTTATAGGCCAGTGAAAGACAGCGTAGCCTAATCCACAGGTTTTTTTTTTTTTTTTAAAAAGTTTAAAATAATAGGTATGGTTTCAAGTGTGCCCAGGTTTGAATGACTTTGAGCGAATGCTGTCTCCTCCCTGTGACTGCGCCTTCCTTACAGCACACTGAGCCTGGGTACAGAACAATTTAGCCCTGAAGAAGATGTCTTTCTCCTAGGTCGTATCACCCCACTATGAGTTTTGGCTTCCAGTGGTTGTGATGTCTGCTGTCAAGATCTGCAAGATCAACTGAGGTAAAAATGGAAGCTTACTCCAAAAATGTACTTCCAGAAATTACCGTTATGTGTACAAAGTTTCAGCTATAAGGACAGTTAGTGTGGAAATTTTGTAAGATAGATGATCAAAATGTCCAGGGGGGGTCGCACAAAGATGGGGACAGACCACTAAGTCTAATAAACTTTATTCCTGGAAAAAAATAAAAAATTAAAAAAACACCGCGGGGCACAAAAAGCTTATCAGCTAGCTGAGACCAACCACAGCCAGAGATGGATTTGTAAGGCTGTGGCCCCGACTGATCTCTAAATTCACCTTCTTATAGTAGGGGACACCAAGCATTAGGTCTGAACAAAGGGCTTTTTTGCGGTATTGAGGTAAAACTCGGATGCAGATTGCCTTTACAATCTTCCTTAACAGAGTTTTTCAGTTAAGCTAGTGTTGTACTTAATCTGTTGTCTTCCCTGATGTTCCCAGGTGTTTACTGAAGCTCTGCGCTCTCCCCTGTGATGCTGCGAGTTTCACAGAGCAGGGATAGTGCACAATCCAGAGGTCACGTATATCCGCCTCCTAAAGGTGAACTCAGCTCCTATCCATCGTGTAATCACGGATGGCCGGGGTGTTCTCTTAGGGCTAATAGCAGTTTGCAGAGATGCTTGGGTCTTGTGAATGGACTGTGGGTTGCTGACAGTCTGCTTTCATCCTCCTAGGCGTACAACTTTATATTCCTTCATTTCTACACTCTTATTTCTTTCTGGAATCCACATTTTTATATTCTTACTCTTGGACTCTTCAGTCATTGGCTAAAGCAGTTGTTAGTGCCACACTAAAGATTATATACTATGTTTCGTGTCTGCTGAACCTGGGATCTGAGGACCTGAAAGAACAGCCGACTACAGTCTTAATGCTGTGGACAACCTTACTTCAGTTTCAGTGTACTTTTACTCTAATTTATTTTTGAGACAGGGTTTTTCTGTGTAGCCCTAGCTGTCCTCGAACTCTCTTTGTAGATCAGGCTGGCCTCCAACTCACGGGAATCCACTTGCCTCTGCTTCCCGACTGCTGGGACTAAAGGCGTGCGCCGCCGCCACCACCACCTGGCTCCGTATACTTTTTTTTTATACACAAATGTAACAAAGCAGTGATCCAAGAAAAGTTGTTTGCGTTCAGAAAAACATGTAAATAAATGCCAGTAAGCACTAAATATTAACAGAGCAGCCCTTTCCCAGACAGTTTAAACAGTTGCCTGACAGGCACTATAGATTACACCTGGGAAGGGAACGCTGGAGAGATAGCTCAGTGGTTAAGAGCACTGCCTGCTCTTCCAAAGGTCCTCAATTTCCAGCAACAACGAGGTGGCTCACAACCATCTGTAATGTGGTCTGGTGCCCTCTTCTGGCCTTCAGGCATACACGCAGACAGAATATTGTATACATAATAAATAAAGAAAAAAGAACAACTCAGGGAACAAATACACCTGAAGTAAAAGGCCTTCTGCCTTTTTTCCTGGACAGTCTCTCACAGTTCCCCAAGACATTGTTCCTTTTGACCAATTTTACCCCTTGTCCTCCAGCAAGGACATGCCCACTCCCACAAGGACAGGCTCCCCACTCACAGGACACGCCCCATCCCACAAGGACACGCCCACTCCTGAAATGAAGCGGGTCCCAAACACCAGGCCACGCCCCTCCTGCAACAACACACTCCTTCCCTAAGGCCACATTCCCTCAATCAAGGACACACACCTCAATAAGGACCTACCTCTTCCCCAATGACTTGCTCCCTCCCCGAAGGACAACACCCCCTCAAACACGGACAAGCCCCTCTCAAAAGAGGGTGGTTTCGCAAGACCATGCCCCATTCATCAAGACACACCTCTCCCAAAAGGACATACCCCCTCATAAAAAAAGGCACACCCTCCAATAAGGAAACGCCCCCTTATACAAGCCATGCCTCCTCCAATAGGAGGCTTCCCTCCTGTCACAAGGACGCACCACCTCCCAAAAGAGCACGCTGGGGAGCTGGAGAGCTGGCTCAGTGGTTAAGAGCACTGACTGCTCTTCCAGAAGACCCAGGTTCAATTCCCAGCACCCACATGGTAGTTCAAAACTGTCTGAAGATCCAGTTGCAGGGGATCTGACACCTTCACACCAATGCATACATTAAAAAAAAAAAAAAAAAAAAAGCCGGGCGATGGTGGCGCACGCCTTTAATCCCAGCAGAGGCAGGCGTATAGCTAATCACCCAGTGGGGCAGGGGGAGCACAGGCACAAACAGGAAATGCTGGCTGCCCAGAAACTGTCCTCAAAATGAACCCCGGGAGCAGGGGTAGACCCTTGGGCCCCGCACACCCCATCAATAAAGGACACGCACCCTCAATAAAGGACATGCTTCCTCCTACAAGGATACACCTCATCCCACAAGAACATGCCACCTCCCACAAGGACACAGATGGAAGAATGCTTGCTTCTTTTCCTAGAAAAGTGTGGTGAGCCCACAAATATACAGTAGATGTCAGCGGACCTATCTATTGGACTACCCTTGGGCAGTGTATACGACGTACACTCCACCTGGAGAACCCGTTTTTTGTAGAGTTACGGGGGACATCTATTCTTTGGATAAGTCACTGTCAATTCTGTAAAAGTTTTGTGAAATCATGGCATTTCTTCTTTCTATAATATCCCAGCAGCGTAGAAACCTGACTTTTCCTATAGGGCAACCGGATACCACCCCCCACACCATGATGGCACAGTGTGAAAAGGATTCGGTCAAGTCCTTGTTCTCACAGCCGAAATCTACATAAAAATATTCCCCACAAACTTTCCTTATTGACAGAAGTCACTGTTAAGAAAGGAGCCTTCCGCTTCTCGGCTCAGAATTTAAACATGGTTGCCTTCGAGCAGAGGAGCAGCCCTGCCCACCCCACCCCCACCCACAGCAGGCGGTGCCGCCCACAGATGACGTGCGCTCTTCACCAACCCACCCAATCCGCAACATGAATTTGCAACAGGGGAGGAAAAAAAACAAAACCTCTAAGGCCCTGCTTTTTTGCTTAAAAATACTTTTAAAAAGCCGGGCGGTGGTGGCGCACGCCTTTAATCCCAGCACTCGGGAGGCAGAGGCAGGCTGGTCTCTGTGAGTTCGAGACCAGCCTGGTCTACAGAGCTAGTTCCAGGACAGGCTCCAAAGCCACAGAGAAACCCTGTCTCGAAAAACCAAAAAAACAAAAACAAAAAATAAAATAAAATAAAAAATTAAAAAAACTTTAAAAGGAAAATTGTATTTTTTATTTACATTTTATATTTTAGGGTCAGTCATTTTTAATGATAACGGGTGACCAAGCCAACCTTCAGAGCGTTCTCTATCCTACTTCTGACCTTACTTGTGGTGTGACCATGTTCATTATAATCTCAAAGGAGAAAAAAAACCTTGTAAAAAAAATGACAACAAAAACCAATCTTATTCTGAGCATTCCAGTAACTTTTTTTGTGTATGTACCTGGCTTGTACTCTAAGTAGCTGGTTTGTATGAGATGGTTAAAAAGACCAAAGATAAAAGGGTTTCTTTTTTTCTTTTTCCTTTTTTTGGTCTTTGAAGTTGCTATATATTTTTATTTTTAGGTTGTTTGTGTTATGGTTTAAATACTAGGCTGAAGTTCCCCCGAGGGGTACAGCAGGCGATGACGGGCAGCGGGTAAGACAGAGTCAGATAGGCAGGCCATGAAAAGAGCGGGTTCAGGTATAGTTTATTCAGTGGGTTATGGAAGGAAAGGGGAGGGGGAGAAAGAGAGAGAGGGAGAAGGAAGAGGGGAGGAGAGGAGGCTGCAGCCACCCCTTCCAAAGAGAGACAAGACCAGGCAGAGAGAGAGTGCAGGCTGGAAACTGAAGGA